ATGACCTTAAATGCGCTGAAGGGCCGAAGCTTCTGCTAAATGAAGAAACACTAAAACTGGTTACGTAGTCTGAGTCGCCGTACAGCAATAAATGCTGAAGTGCATTATGAATTCCATGAGGGAGAGCGGCCCTTTCCTTTGGTTTGGAGACCCTGGTTGACTGCTGCAGGAGAGGCAGTAAGCTCAGAAGGTGCTGTGTCTCTGGGTCCAGTCTGAGCAGGATTGCCAGCCAGTGGGAGTGTATGTGGAGGTTTCCTGTAATATAAAGCCTCTGTTGTTGAGGGAAGGATTCTGAACTGGCAGTGGAGGGCCAGGCTTCTGGGTTATGCTGCAGTATTTTAATCTAAGCTGGTCATGTTCTCTTAAACATGCTGAATCTGTGAAATGCTTATGCCACATTGTCTAGGAAACCAATCTGCTAATAAACAAGGTTGTGGTTTGGCAGGCAAAGGCTTCAGTCAGAAGAAAATGTGTGTTTAAGCAGAACTGCGTGCCATGCTAAGGCTTTCTTCATCCTAAGAGATCAATCTAGTTTAGACTGAACTTGACATTCCTTACCTCTGTTCCATGGACTGGCACGTGTTTACTTAAAGACTGGTAAATGGAGTGTTTGATATGGAGATGATGGTGACACACTGTTCTGTTTGCTCCTAAGAGATGAGGTGATGAACCAGACTGCTGCTTTTATAGGGGACTTGCCTGAGGCTTTTTCTCAATTTTGTACAAGAAATGATGGGGAGGGTATAAACACTATCATTTGCACAGTGAGTTTCACACGGTCTCACTTGATCTGCACTTTGATCTTCCAATATGCATATAACTGGAATCTCACTCTTTCAACACTAGAAAAGAGTAATGGATGATGCAATACAAATTTCCCTTACTGTTTTATGTCTGCTGCTGGCATGTTCCAGTAGAATGGCCTGTGTAATGCAAATGGTCTGTGTAGCACCATTCCTAATATAAATGGTACATTTCTGGCATAATGTCAGTTACATTTTATGCTTAGATGAATGAGGTGGGAGATGATGGTGTCTGAAGCTTTTAACTGCACACTACAGCTTGTTGGAATAGATTGTGGAAAACATTTTCTAGTCAATGTCTTTCTGTGCTTCAACATAACATTGGTTGCAAGTCTCTGGCAATGAAGGGTAACAGACTGCTGGAGAGAGTGCATTAGGCTACAGAATACCTGACTGCAGTGCACTGCATGTTATCATGATAGCTTCTCTCCTGGCTTTGAGCTGCAGACTTAAACATTGTGGTAGAGGAGTGTCCTAGGGCTGCAGCTGGTGGACTTAATCTAAATTGGAAAGCTCCACAACATTTAAGTGCTTTAGCAATTACATTTCACCTTTTTGGTGACTTCCCTGATGGAAGAGTTAGGAGAACAGGGATTCTATTCCAACAGGATAAGCAGCTGTTTAAATATTTTTTTTAAAAGTCTTAATGAAAACTCAGTTAAACTGAACGTAAGGTTAAGACTGGCTAGCTGCTCTTTTTCTGTAAGCAGAGTAAGAAGTAGGACTGCCTGAAACTTTAGGAAGGATCTGGAGAACTGTACTTAATGCTCCGTTTGCCCTTTCCAGCCAATATTCTACCAGCTTGATCTTTCCTACTGAAGTCTGTGAGCCAAGTTCTGAGTATGGATAAACTAATACACAGCCTGAGACATTCATTTAAATTAAATTCAAAGCAACTAAATACAGCAAATTTGATCATTTTTAAAGTGCCTTTGTGATAGTTTCCTTACAGCCAACTCTACGTAGCTTTCTGCCGGGGTTAAAAGGGAAAAGCTGACAACTTGAACCAAAATCCCCGTTCAGTCCTCATGTAGTTCAAACTTCAGCTTGAGACGTTGGCCTCACCAAGCAACTGGTGGGGCTCAGTCCTTTATGCACTCTGCATAGCATTGGTCTGAAACATCAGATCTCAGATTCTTTCGGAGTTTTGCTGGCAATGCTCCACTGCAGAGGAGAAACTGTGAATGGAGGCACTTGGTAATTTTGTAGTGGTCAGCACATTTCTATCTCCGTCAGCAAATGCGCTTCCTTTTTGTAGCATCCTGCAGTTGTGACCAAAAACCCTACCCCTCTTCCACTGCTGTCTTTAAGTGGTATCTGTTAACTCGAGGCTTGAGTCTGCCAAGGATTGAACAGAAGGGTACAGAGAAAAGGTGTCCCTGGGAAGCAGTGCTGTCAGAGCAGGCTTTGGGCACTTCAGCAGGGCTGCATGGAAAGTCTGTGATAGTTCATAGTGCAGCTTTTTGTTCCGAGTCTGGATTCCTTCTGACTGCGGTCATCCGGCACTTTTATACAAGCACAAAATGTGGTCTGGCTTCAGCTTCAATGTATGAATCTCTTTGAAGGTGTAATCACTGCTTCGCACCACTAAGTGGAGTGAGAATGTTAGCGTTAAAGGTACTAACAGAGCGTAGGGAGCTGCTTGCTAAATTTTACAGATGCCTTAATGACTTCCTGTGCTGGAGATCAATGGCTCATCCAACTTCTCACACAGTGCTTCTAAATTAACATGTAACGACATGGGAGGCCCAGGCTGGATTTTTTTCTTAGTAGGCAACTCCTTTTTTTTTTCCTTTAACCAGCAGAGTTTGAATACTGCAGCAAACTTGGTTAACTCAAAGCTTGTATGAGCGATTTAAACAGGTAATTGAACCTTCTAGCCTCTGTGAAATAGAAAAGGAAGTCTTACAACAATGGCATTTTATCTGCGGTGTTTGTCTGGAGTCATTGTAAAAATGTATTTTTCCAATATGCATTACTTTGTTGTGTAGTAATTCTACTTGTAATAAAATGCATAACTAAATAATGCATCACGAGGTGGAAACCTTGCTGAGAAAGTATTTTCTCTCGTGGAGACAGCTGCTCTGCTTTGAGCTGCTGTTACTGACCACGAGGACATCCAGGGTTGTAGGATTTCATTGGGCATGGCAGTTTATTCTCTGCAGTTGTCCTACGTCTCTGTTTCCATGTTGTGCAGTTGTTACAGTCTTCTTTTGGCTGGCAAGGCCTGGTGTTCTCCTACTTCGTGCTTCGTGTAAAGCTTGATTGCTTCACAGCAGACTTATCTATAGCTCTTGTAAAACTAAGCCCTAACTTCCTGCAGGCCAGAGCTGCTCAGCTCAGATGCACTTACATGGACAAGCAGGGCTGAGCTGACTCTCACATACTATTCGTGCACTGTCACATACTGGCAGGCACCTTCTCTCTCTCTCTGGAAGAGCGTGCAATTGCTGCAGCTTCACTCCAGAAAAAGCAGTGGTGAGACCAACCAGAGCCATTTTGAGATTGTGATGCATTAGTCTTAATTAATTTTAAAAAGTGCAGCTACCAGAGATGAGTTGTGAGCTTGATTAACTGCAGGCTTTCTTTACTTCATCCTGTTTAATTGTTTTCCCCTTCACAGGAGAATTTAGTTGAGGTTTTGAATTAGGATAGTAGAAACAATGTGATTTTCTTGGAGCATTTCATGGAGTCTCCTTGTTGGCCTTAATAAATGACTCATTCCTGGGGCAAGACTGAAACTTTTTCCCCTTGTCTTTCCAACTAAACCAAGGAATAAGCTGTGAATTAGTTTTCCAACCTGCCAAGCAACACCACCAGTTTCTAAAATCTGCCTTGCTTTCTTACAGCAGCTTACTGACTTTTGTCTAGTTCTCTAGATCAAGTCCATCCCCTCAGCATTTTAACACAATATTTGCAGGGAAGAGCAGTTTTAAGGATAAAGCATGATGAAACCTGCTTGGAGGCTGCATAGCTGGTGCCTTCAGTAGGAATCTAGCTTCTCAGACAGATGGGAACTTAGAAAATATTCTAGTGTTTAATAATTTGGAATTCTGAAACTTTTGAAGTTGCTTTTAAAGGCACTTATCCCTTGATTCAATCGTAATCTGATTGAATTTTTGAGGGTAATTTGAGGTCATCGGTGCTGTTGACCTCTAAATACAAGTCCCTGCTGTAAGGTCTGTGTCCAAAAGTAAGTAACAGGCTGACTTCTGTAATGCTTCCATTGAAGTGAGGCAAGGATGCACTGCATTGTAGCCCTTCCTGCAGCTTTTGCACAGCTTTAGTATGGATTGTTGCATAAAGTAGTTCAGTCCAATCCCAAAGCTGGCACAAGCCTGGGGCAGCACTTCAGTTCTGGAAGGACGACTGAGGAGCTGAGCAGTGTGATGGCTCTGCTGCCATCTTTCTAGAGAAAACTTGCATTGCTGAGCAGTGACAGCTTCCAGCTCTGCCGGAAAGTGGTGCAGGGGGCTCTTCTTACAGAGGGTAGTGGAAAAGAAATAACAGAACCAGGTTAAAAGCAAAACAAAAGCACCAAGTATCAAAATAAGCATAAGTTTAAATTGCTGTATGGTTCTCATTCATGGTAGCTGTAGCATCGTTGAACACAGTAAGTGAAAAGTGCTGCAACGTGTTCCTATTGTTGCTGCAATTAAGTGATTATTCTTGCTTTTAATGAATGTTGCTGAGCCTCCTGTAATGCCACCAGTTTATTAATTAATTAGCTCCCTGAGGTTTTCTTTAGGAGTGGTTATAGCTCAAAAGCCTTCGGAGCTTATAAATGCTTCCCAGCTTTTTATAAATAGGTGGCAGCTGCCTTTCGAACTGGCACAGCTCTGCACTAAGCTGTGTTCATTGCTGGGCTGTAGTTAATCCAGGTGCCTCCCGAGGCTGCAGCTGCTCCAATAACCCATTCTCACAGTAGCCTCTAGGAACAACTGCAGCTGCCTCCCCCAGCCTGCACTCATAGCTCCTAGCCCCCCGTCCTTTGCATAAAACCTCCATAAAACTGGTAAGATTTGCCTTGTTCTTCTGGAATTAACAAAATGTTACGGATTTTGACAGCTGTGGTGAAGGATGCACATGTTTTAAGTGAGCTGGGCTTTGTGAGGGTGGATCAAGGTTACAGTCTGATGGACATGTAACAAACAGGAGATAATAAACCAGAATGGAGACAGGCAAATTACATCAGGATGGTCACACTGTACGTAGATTTTATTATCACCTAGTTCAAACTGCAGGGCTGGGTAGCTTTCAAGTAGTGAATCACCAAACAAGGATGGTGAGGTCAACTTTAAGCAGCAATCCTCATAGGTGGCATCCATTATCTTCTTTGCTCAGTATCTAATACAAACATGAAATAAGGAAATGCAGCTCTGACCTTTGCCTTCTGTATTCGTGGATCTGATAAGCAGAGCTTGTATATGAACTGGACAAGTTCCTGGATGCTACACACTGCAATTGTAGGAGAAAGTCAGGCTTCTCCCTGCTGCTTTTACATCCTTCAGAGCAAAGCAGTTGTATGGGAAAGGGCAGCAGCAGTAAGCAGACTTCAGGTGACATTGGAGGATTGTGCATAGACTGAAGTCAGTGATGCTGCTGCCATTGCTGCTTGCTGCCTTAAAGCACAACACCTTACACTCACCGCTGAGCACACAAACATCTATTTCCTGGCTGTACAAGAAATACATTTTTAAGTGTAGCTCAAGCTGTGCATCTTACAGTTTGTCACTGGATGTAAAAATACTGTGGGGAAAAAAGCACTAAGTGCCAGTTTTTTAGCCAGTAACTTGGCTCAAGTGTTTCTTCTTCTCCCACCTCCATCTCCATGTGTTAAAAGACACAGAACATGAAACTGCCATCGCTCCCTTTGCACAGACAGACGGGAGGGAACGAAGCTGGAACTGCACACCTAAGCACAGGGTATCACCGGAGCCCTTCTGGCCCCCTTCAATCACGGTGTCACGTGCTGAGGATGCACTGCTCAGCCTGCGGGTGGCAGCCGTCGTATTCCTGCAGGTGGGGGTTATCCAGGTCGCCTCTGTCGCTGTGCTGGGCTGAGCCCTGCTGGCCCCACGGGGGGCCGCTGGTTCTCACGCACACGCAGTGGCTTCCCCTCGAGCCAGGCCTGTACAGCTTCCGGGGCACGCCGGTCCAGTCTCTGTTCACTCCCCCACTAAGAATGCAGAATTGAAATAAATTACAATTCAAACACCCAATTCAGAGCCATGAAATGCTTCTGGAGAATACAGAAGCAGGTCAAAATTCAAAGCACTCTGGGAGATTAACAGTGCACGCGCTGAGACAGACTTTGCTCCCAACATCCTGCTGCCTTCTGATACTTATTTATCAGCTGAAACCCGTGGCTTGAACTTGGTTTTACCAGTGCAGCTACACGCTCTGACCCACCTGAGAGCAACCAACTTCTGCTGTTTCTATTAAGGGAAGAGGAACCGTGGCTGTATGTGGCACAGAGTGCTTAATGGAAGAATGCCTTTTCTGGGGTAGCTAATAGCTCACAGACGATTACGTGTTGTCTTTGGTGAACACAGTGATTTTGAGAACCAGGGCAAAAAAAAAAAAAAAAGATCTCCAAGTATTTCATAGCATCTCTTTATGGGCCAAGTCCTGTCCTATCTGTTCCCCTAACTGCTGTCTTCGACTGCAAACAAGCTCATTCTCACACAGAAGCAAAAGCAAGGTGCACACTGCTAGCATACCTTGCCCAAGCATTTTCCAGTGCAGTCTGTGACATGATTTCAGCTTAAAACAAAATGGTCTCCAATCCAAGGGAGGTACACATCTAAACAGGATAAGTAGGAAATGACTGTTCAAAGATCAATCTTATTTTCATATGGTTTTGAGAGGGAACTGTTGTTCCCTTTGAGACAGGCTGTGAAACCTCAAAAAACAGCAGCTGATCTTTGGATTCATGATGGGTGAGAAGACCTGCTTGAATGCTGCTAACAGTCCAGTGGGATTTCTGACCTGCTTTCCTGAGGACAGGGTGATCACGTGCATGTAGGGCAGCTTCTGAAAGCTGATCTGGATTCCAGTGTGACAAAAGTTTTTGCCTCAGAAATAAAATTCCTGAAGGTGTCAATGATCAGGAAGGATGAGTACTGATTTTCTTTTTAGCCACTCTCCGTGTCGCTGAGCAGAACTCCCTCTCTGCTGCCTCCCACTGGAAGTCAGTTAATTACCATCCCACTGTGCTCCTCCAGCTGTGGCTGAACCAGCAGAGGGAATTAATTCACACAGAAACAGATAAACCTGGCACAAACTGCTGGTGGTGCTCCTGGTGGGTTGGCTGAAAGCACAGCCTCAGAAATACAGACAGAAGTTCTTGTGGGGAGGCCACAAGAACTCACCTAAAGAAGCTGGGACACCTTCTAGTGCCTCTTCTGCTATGATAAAGCTGTGGGTGCTCAAACAGAGGGGCAGAAATGCTCTGCTCCAAGAAGCCCAAGCATGACTGCAGGAAAGCAGTACTTACCTCTGCCTGGAGCACCAGAATCGGCTGCCCTTGGCAGAGCTCCACTCAGAGTTGCAGGGTGGAAACTGCTCCTTCCACCGATCACTTTCTGCTTTGAACTTCAGCCCTTCCTCGATGGCAGCCTCAGCCTGCTTTAAGGCCTCTGTCGGTGCCCCATTTTCATCATAGAATCTGCCCACCAGCTTCCCTTGGAGAGAAGAAGATCAATTAAGACTACATCATTTCCAGGCAAGGAGCGAGCTGCCCAGAGAAGTGGCAGTCTCCTTTTCTAGAGATATTCAAGACCTGTCTGGATGCTTTCCTGTGTAACCTACTGCAGGGAACCTGCTTTAGCAGGGGAGTGGATTTGATTATCTCCAGAGGTCTCTTCCAACCCCAACAATTCCGATTCTCTGAAAGTGACTAATTTCTGTGGATTATTATTATTTTTTTTTTAAATAATTTGTTATTTAATGACAAAAAAGAAAATAATCAAAGAACTACACCAGAGGATCTTTGCTGTGGCCTCATTTTGAAACAGAACTGAGCTACCTCCCTTCACATCATGGATCACACAGCAACTTGCACATGTTATAAACCCACACAGGACAAGATTAGCGACTCTCTGAAGATCACAAAGTCAACAGCACTTGCTCAGCTCCAGGACTTGAGCTCAGCAGCCATACCCAGGTGACACACATGGCAGCCACCTACCCACACAGGCGTAGTTGGTGCTGTAGAAGGACAGCCAGCTCTGGATGGTGAGCATCTCTGCTGGCGACAGCGCAGACACATCATCCACCAGGCCTGACGGGGTGAAGTCTCCAGTCGCAAACGCTCTGCTGGCATCTCTTCCTGTGGCAGACAACAGGCCTGTCAGCCCTGCGGTCCCCAGAGCTCCATAAGGCCCCAGGGAGCCCCACCACCCTGACAGCCCCAGAGCTTTGCAGGGCCCCAGAGAGCCCTGTCAGGTCCTGGGGAGCCCAGCGCCCTCTTAGCCCACAGGGAGCCCCAGAGCCCTGACACCTCCGGAGTCCCCAGAAGCCCTGTCAGGCCCCAAGCAGCCCCTCAGAGACCCCTCCGCGCCTCAACCTCAGGGTCCTGACAGATCTCCTCCCTCCCCCCACCTTCGCCCGCCCACCTGCTAGGCCGCTGTAGGTCCCGCCGGGGCCGTAGTGCCTGCGGCCGGGCTGCACATCGAAGACGCGGCCCAGAAGGGCGAGATAGAGGCCGGGGTCCCCCGGAGCACCGCGGTGCCGTCCGAGCTCGGCGGCGCTCAGCAGGCGGTTGCCGGGCTGCAGCCAGGCGCGGGGATCGAACCCGCGGTCCAGAAGCCAGGCGGCGCCCAAGCACAGAGCGGCGACTACTACCGCACCCCGCCGCATGGCGCCGCCGCTTTTTTACAACAGCTTCACGACGGCGTTGCGCGGCGCCTGACGGCGGCGTGGCGGGAGAGACGCGTGGGGCGCCGCGCTGCTTTACGGACGGCGTCGTAAAGAGACGGGGCGGGGCTTTACGGGGCCGGGCGTCGCTTGGCGGCAGTGTGGCGCGGCGGCCGCCGGCCGGGCGCTGACAGGTGCGGCGCGCGGGAAGCTGCTGACTAAGCCGGGCCGGGCGGAGGCAGAGGGAAGAGGAAGGAGAAGGAGCGAGAGCGGCTCTGCCCGGCGTCCGGCCGCAGCTCGACGCCCATGGGGACGGCGGCGAGCCACAGCAGCGAGGAGGAGGAGGAGGGAGCCGAGGAAGGCATGGAGGCGGCGGCTCAGCCCGGCGATCCCTTCCCGGCCGCCAGCCCGGCTCCTGCGCTGCCGCCCGCCGAGGTGCTGCTGGAGCAGGCCCGGCTGCGCGAGGCCACGGCGCGGCTGAGGGAAGCGGCGCTGCCGGAGTCGTTAGTATCGCGGCACCACGGCGCGTTGGTGCGCTGGTTGGAGGAGCGGCTGAGCCGCGGCGACGAGGCCGTGAGTCTGGAGCAGTTCTGCGAGGTGCTGGAGAGCGTGTCCCGTTTGACGGCCGGGTCGCGCGGGGAGAGCGAGGAGGTGAGAGGGGGGAGCGCGGAACTGGGAGTGCCGAGCGAGCGGCCTCGTGAGCCCGGCCTGCCCCGCCGGCAGCAGCGGGCAGAGGCCGTGCGGCAGTGCGGGTGTTGTCCCGCCCCGTAACCCCGAGAAGGAGCGGTTCCGGCTCTGCCCCGTCGGTACCGGCAGTGCGGGAAGCGCCCTGAGGTGGCTCCGATGAGAGTTTGCTGTGCTTCGTTTGATTGTTTCTCTTTAAAATCGGCCCGGCGCTCCCCTTGCAGCACCCGGTTGCACGGCGGGACGCTGTGCTGTGTGTGACAGGAGGGGTGAGGCCTCGGTAGTAGGAAGGAGCGTGGTTTCCTTTCAGCTCTGCAAAGGGATACGGGGAGCCGACAGCCGGAGCACCAAACTGCAGCACTGCCCTTTGTGCCCGTTCTAGAGCCGGACTCCAGAAAACCCCATTGGGGTTTCCACAGCTACCGAAGGAGGTGGCTGTGTCCAAAGCTGTTTCCTCATGCAGTTCCTGGGACTCCCCGGTGTCTCCCTTCAGCCTTTCTATGGCTCCCAAGTGGCAGGATAACTGGAAGCTGACCTTTGAGTCGCATGTGTGCTCCTAGGAATGAGTCAGTGCTGACATAGTAACCAGGCGCTGGGAGGAGGTTGGTGCTGTCACACAGGCTGTGTGTTGGTTCCAGGCTGCTTCACACAGCTGGCTGAAACACTCCCTCTGAGTTTACCCTTAGAATCACAGAATCATTAAGGCTAGAAAAGACTGCTACAATCACTGAGTCCAACCATCAACCCATCCCCACGTGCCCACTAACCTCAGTGCCACGTCCAATTCCTTCCCAAGAGCCATTAACCAATGCTTCTTAACCTCTCACAAGTCAGAGAGTGATATCAGTATACTGAGATTCCCTCTGTTAATACAAGCGACTGAGTTTTGCAGGCTAAAGAAATACTTTGGGGATTGCATTTTTCATCTTCCTCTGCATGACAAGTATGGGTTGCTTTTTTTTTTCCACATTCTAGGAAATGAGGAAAAAGCATGTCATGGGATTTGTGCTGGGATGGGGATGTGGTCGCAGCTCATCTGTGCTGCTGTGATGTTGGGATGTGTGTGGAAAACCCTCATTCATTGTTTCTGCTGCTGGCAGCAGCCCGTGGGCTGAAAGTGAGGTGTTTGCGGGTGGCAGGGCAGAAGGTTTCCACTTTTTGACATTTACAGAGTTCTGCCTGGCACACATGAAGTTCTCACCTCCCATTAAGTTTTTCTGTTCTCAGTCTGGGGCTTTTGAGCGCATTTGTTAAATGCTTTATGGGCAAAATAAACCTCTGTCTATTGGTTAGTTAAATTAAACCTTTCTTAATCTATCAGTGCTTCAGCAGTGGCTGTGGAATGTATCCAACTTTTGCTCAAAATGTGGATGCTTCAGTTGTACTGAGTGCAATGAATGGAATATAAAGTCTTCCCTGGTCACACCTCAGAGATGCTGCGTTGTGCTGCCCTTCTGGAAGCTAAAGGGCAGATTTGTCTACATACCTCATTTCTGAGATAAGTTACTCCATGGTCATGGTTGAGCTTGGTAGGAAACGTTAGGATTTAATGCTTTTATTAAGGAGCAGGATGAAGGTGGGCTGCAGTGAAGGTGTTCCTGCAGAGGTAACTCTGTCCCACACATGAGTGCAGCTCAGGAGCTGTGTCTACACACGGGGTGGGTTGGTTGGTACAGCCCTGTGCACAGCAGAGCAGTGGAAACTGCCAATGCTTTGTGTTGAATAGCACTGAAGTTACACTGAGCAGACAGAAATAGTTGTAGACTTTTGGAGTCAGTGAGATTATAGATCTGCTGAGGTCACAGGAAGGGTTTAAAAAAGAAAGCTGCGTTAATGTGCAAAGAAAGTGTCAATGTGGTAATCTCTTTGTGCATGCAAGTGTCAGGTGTTGGCTTAAAGCAGTGCTTGGCAGCCCCAGCCTTATCCTATGTGACGTTTATTCTCACTGGTAGCATCCCAGAGCTTGCTTGCTTCATGGATTAGTGATTATACAGCGTGACCCCAGTCGGAGGCAGGAGAAGTCATGTAGCAAAGCTGTGCCTTCATTTGTTTTGGCACTGGATCTGTTTGTTAAAATGAATTCCCTCTATTGTCCTCGAGCAAAGGCCCTAGCTCTGCTTGGGGAGCTTCCTCTGCCCAGAACCCTTCATGTACACTGCAAAGAGCAAAGCTGTGGAGCTGCCACCAGGGCTCCAGCTGTGGGCTCACATACGGACCTGCAGAGCCCAACTTCAGCTCCACACAAGTGCCACCACGACTTCAGCCAACTCAGACGTCGTGCTTCAGCTCGGGTGCCTTCCGAGGACTTTGCTCTCATTTGCTGCTGTAATTATGTCACGTTTAATTGGCAGGTTATTTTAATCTAGTCATCTCAGATTGTTTCTCTCCAGGATATTGCTTTTATAATGGTACATTGGTTCTGATAATGAGGACCAAGCGAGTCTCAAGTGTGGGCTTCTTCCTGAGCTTTGTGCTTGTTGGACACGTGGGCTGCTGGGTTTAGAGGCTGGGTGGCTTGCTGCTGTAGCTGAGTGTGGAATACACTTATACTAGGGCCAAAATAAGTAAATCTGGCAGTGGTTCACTTCAGAAAGAAAATAAAGTCTTGTAGACTTCTACCTGGTTTCATTCTTTTCATAAATGCTTTGGTAAACTGTCTTCAACTGGCGTTCAGTGCAAGAAGACAGGTGATGGAAGGGAATAAACATCAAAAAACGTAGTTCTGAGAATTTTTCTTTTTTAAATAAAGGAAATATCACAGAATGGTTGGAAGGAACCATTAAGATCACCCAGCCCCAACTCCCCTGCTGCAGGCAGGGACACCTCACTGTACACCAGGTTGCTCACAGCCCCATCCAGCCTGGCCTTGAGTGCTTCCAGGCAGGGGGCATCCACAGCCTCGCTGGGAAACCTGTTCCAGTGCCTCACCACCCTCACAGTAAAGAATTTCTTCCTAATTGTCAGTTTAGAAACAAGTGAAACCTGAAAGATTTCGAATGGCTGCAGTGTGAAATGGATGTGGCCCCAATGAGTAATGCATTGTGATGCTTTTAGAACAAACCTGGCATTTAATGGAAGAGGGTTTTTCATGTTCTTTCATGAACATCTTCTTTGCAGTCACAGATGTTGGGTGGATGGATACTGCTGATTCACTGGTGTGGATGATGTGCTGTCTCCACCTAAGCATAGCTATGGTTGGCTTCAATAGGAATGCAATGCAAATGCCTTAAAACCTGCTAAAGACTGCAGATTTTCAACCAGGCTATGTTTGCTCTTGTCATAAATTCAATGCTGCAGCAAACAGACTTTTTTGATTTTAGTTTAGTGCTGTTGTAATGTTCCACTGTTGCTAAGGTTTACATGAAATACGTTGAAGGAGAGATGCTGAAATAAAGGTTCTTTTTTTTCTTTTTCTTTTTTTCCCCCTGTCAGGCTTTTGCACAATTTGATGCTGAAGGAGATGGCACTGTAGATGTGGAGAATATGCTGGAGGCTCTGAAGAATTCCAGTGGAGCTAATCTTCAAGGGGAGCTGAGCCACGTCATCAGGCAACTGCAGGCTTGTTCACTCGTTCCAGGTATGGGGACAGCATGGAACAAATGGTTTCCCAAGTCCTGCCCTGCATAAGGAATGCTGCTTCAGTGAACTGCTTTAGTGGTGTTTCTTGTCCTAATCTTCTCAAGCCTCTACTCCAAGCTGTTCTCGTTGCCCTCGTATCAAACAAGTGAAGTTACTGTAAGTTTAAACCTTCACATAATGATGTTCAGCTCAAACACTTCTATAAGCGACTGATATTTTCTCTGTGTGGTTGTTATCCTTGTTTAGTTCTTCTCAGAGACAGAAAAAAGTGTCTTGCAGAGTTCTGGTAAAGCAGTCACAGCCCTTATACTTGATAGCTGAAAGAATATATCCTCTGCTGAGTCTGTTTCAGGTGATGAGTCATAAACGTTGCTGTATTGTTATTTGGATCTTGGAATCCTACTAAAACACATTTGGTATTTGATAGCTTTTATTTTTGAAAATGACAGTTTTTGGAATCTGGGTTCTGGGATAAGTGTCAGTTTCTGTCTTTCCTCCCGAGCTTTTAATGATAAGTGGCTAAAGGGGATTTACCTTAGAGGATGGGACAACAGTGTCAGGACTGGCTAACAGATGAGCCATCAGGAAGTACTTAGGGAGTATTGTTTGATGTATCTAAGTGTGCTGTGATGGAGAGTAACGCTGAAGCTGAAATCTCTTACCTAGATGGTGGAAAGCATTAGGGACTTCTTTGGGAATCATCCACAGTGCCAAAGGGAGCTGCCTGATGCAGCTCCAGT